TATATATATATATATATATATATATATATATATATATATATATAGGTGTCAAAACGATAGTAAATAATAAAATTTAAGAATATATTTGATATTCTAAAAATTTATTTGACATGCTTTTTTTTAGTTGTGGGAATTAATATAATAGAACTTACCACTTTCATGGAACAAATTGATTGTTTATCTAAAATATTATATTGGTTGCACTAATACATGATTAACTTTGCTTCAAAAAAAAAATACATGATTAACTTAAATTATTTAACAAAGTTTTTGTAAAAAAAATTTATTTTCCGTGGGAAAAAGTATATTTTTATTTATAAAAATTGAATTTATTATTAAAAAAGACTAAATCTTTAGGAAAAAAAAATTATAGTGAAGTTGACTGATGATGTGGGACACGTTGTGTTATTCCAAGTCAATGGGAATATGCCATGCTTACACGTTAAGTCAACTTTTTCTTTTTGTTTTTTATCTGAAATTGCTAGGTAGGACTTACACTTTTAAAATTTAAATAATTTTTCCACGTGCGTTTTTTTCACATATTCAACACTTTTGGGTTACAATATTTTCATTATTAAATCTATCACACCTATGCTTTAATTTGAAGTGAAATATAATGTAACAAAAACGACACTATTACTTGAAATCACGTGTTTTATGAGTGTAACTGTGTAATAACTAACAGTAATGCAAATTGAAAGGAGGAAAGAAAGCAGTAACTGTTAGGATAAGAATTGAATGGAGGAAATGAAGAGGATAAGAATTGATGAAGACTAGTTATCTTAAAAAATACATATATTATATGAAAGAGTAAATGTGTTTTATTTTATATCTTTTGGAATATTCTTTTATATACAATATTTTTAGTAACTAACTCATAAAAAATATTGGTGTAAAAATAACTCGTAAAAAATATTTTTAGTAATTAAACTCATTTAATTTTATTTATCATAAGGCATAATCTTTAAACCTCATTTGCTCTTCATTTGTAAAGTCGTACTAGGTAAAAATTGTCTAAAATTTCCATTTGAAATAAATGGTGAAATTTATCTAAAGTCCTTACTAAGAACAATAATCTTTCCTTCCTTGGAAGTAAAATATTTTAAAGAAAATAATGATATGATATAATGTTATCTTAATTTATATCTCGATATTTTAGATTTAGGTTAATTGGGTTTTAAATATTTTTACACCTTCAATTAATTAAAAATAATTGATGATGTGATTTTTAAAATAATTATTAAAAAGTTCAATAAACTTATAATTTGTGATTGAAAATGACAATGTAGATTTGTTTAATTTTATAAGATTATTTTTATGGTTCGAGAGCTTGCATGCCTTACACGTATATGCCATAAAAAACATGGAAGTTCGCACAAAAGTATTTCCGGTTCAATAAATTTAGATATCTTCCTTTAAAATCAAGGAATATTTTTTAAAGATTTAATTGTGTTTTCAATTCTCTAATATTATAATTATGCTTTGATTTTTAAGGGTTTAATTTAATAATTTTAATCTTTCAAATATTATAATTTTTTCAAATTTTAATTAAATAATTTTAGTTTCTCAAATATCACAATACAATTGTTTAAGTTTAATCATATAATTTTTTTACCTATTTAAGTAAGTTTATTATTAGAATTACTAATATATAAGACTTAAATAGATAAAAATTTATATAATTATAATATATTTAAAAGATTAAAATTGCTCGATTAAAAATATAGATATCAAAATTGCACAAAACGCTCAATTAAAATTTAAGAAATTTTAATTTTATTTTATAACTGAAGGAAAAAAAAACATATTGATGCCTTTTTTTAACTTGTTTTATTGTCAAATAAAGTCCTATTCAGTTTAAATAATGTGGTATGAAAATACTAATTATTCGAATGAGAGAGTTATGTTTGTCATTTTCTAACTAATTAATTAATTTGAGTAACGCTTATAAATAGAATTAAAAGTGTCATTAAGTTACGGCAAAATTAACTTAAAAAACCAAACTAATTAAGATGGCCCAATTCAAATGTTCTCCACGGGATTGGACGATCAAGTCTTTCTTTTTTCTTTTTATTTTTTTTTTATAATAAGATAACAAAAGTAAACAGACCCGTCGAAGGAGAAGAAAAGTATGAATAGCAAATGACCAATCAACAACAGACTTTATTAATCAACAGCATACTTTATTAATGGATAGGTACCAATTTATATACAGCAAAGAGAATACTAGAATGCAGTAGTTATAACAGAATAAGAAAATATCGGAATGCAGTAATTGAAACAGAATATTATCTAATCATAATAGAATACAAGATAATTAATTAGTTACTATTGTGAGCCCCTTTCAAGCTGGGAATGTATATTCATCATTCCTAGCTTGGAACAAAAGCCTTGAAAGATGGATGGAGATAAAGCTTTAGTAAAAATATCTGCGAGCTGCATGGAAGAGGAAATGGACAGGATCTTTAGGAGGCCATTGTTAACTTTCTCACAGACAATATGATAATTATTTCACTATGCTTAGTTCTTTCGTGAAAAACTTGATTAGAAGCTATCTGTATCGCTGATTGGTTATCACAATAAAGAATAGTCGGCTAGACAAAAGGCACATGAATGTCTTGAAGAAGATAAGTGAGCCACTGGAGTTCACACGTTGTTGAAGCTAGAGCTCGATACTCAGCTTCAGAGGAGCTGCAGAGACGGTAGATTGTTTCTTCGAGCGCCAAGAAATAAGAGAGTCGCCAAGGTAGATGGAAAAACCCGTGATTGAGCGTCGAGAATCACTACATCCGGCCCAGTCAGAATCGATGAATGCTTTGAGTTGAAGATTGCCAGTGGCAGAAAGAAAAACACCAGAACCTAGGGTGCCCTTGAGGTAACGGAGAACGCGAAATGCAGCTTGAGAGTAAGCAATAGTAGGATTGGCCATGTACTGGCTTAATTGTTGAACAACATGGGATATATCTGGTCGCATATTTGTTAGGTAGATGAGACGTCCAACTAAGCGTCAATAGGAAGATGAAGATGAAGCAGATAAGGGGGTACCCGAGGTGGCATGTAGACGAGTAGAATAATCCATAGGAGTTGAAGTGGGACGAGAACCAAGCATACTGGAGTCAGAGAGCATATCTAATGTGTATTTCCATTGACAGAGGTGAATGTCGCTACGGGACTGAGCAACTTCAATGCAAAGAAAGAACTTTAAATTGCCAAGGTCTTTTATTTTGAAAGTTTGATCAAGGAGATTCGTGATGTGGCGTATCTTATCAAGATTGTTCCCTGTTAAAAAAATATCATCAACATAGACAAGAAGAGCTGTAGTTGTGTTACCACTAAAACGTAGGAAGAGAGAATGATCAGCGGAAGACTGTTTGTAGTCATGAGAAAGAAGAAAAGAGGATAGGCGAGTGAACCATTGTCTGCTGGCTTGTTTGAGCCCATACAAAGATCGTTGAAGACGACAAACTTGATTGGGATTCTCAATGGAGAGACTCGGAGGAAGCTTCATATACACCTCCTCATGAAGCTCACCGTGAAGAAAAGCATTGTTTACGTCTAGTTGTTTTAGATGCCAATTATTGAGAGCTGCTAGAGCTAGCAATAATCGAACAGTGGTGAGTTTGGCCACGGGTGAAAATGTATCAAGAAAGTCCAATCCCTCCATTTGTGTATAACCTTTCGCAACTAGACGCGCTTTATGCCGCTCAACGGAACCATCAGCATTGTATTTGATTTTATACACCCAGCGACACCCGATTGCAGTTTTATGAGGTGGTAAGGTAGTGAGAGTCCAAGTATGATTCATTTGAAGTGCATGTAATTCGGCTTGCATTGCTTTAATCCAACAATCATGATGTGAAGCCTCAGCATAAGAAGTGGGTTCAGTAGTGGCAGAGATAGACATGATGAAATGGTGATAAGGTGAAGAGAGACGAGAATAAGACAAGATAGAGTTGAGAAGATACCGAACACTTGGCAAGGTGGCAACATTGGTTGAAGTGAGAGCACTATGGTAGTCTTGGAGGTAGG